CTGATCAAAAATAAAACTCATTCCTTCGGCATTATTTTATCTCAGAATGAAAATTTTATTTTTGAGTTTTATTGTTTTCTTGCGGATAGAAACACAGTTGAGTGCATATGAGGCCTTGAGGGCCAGAGTATATATCTTAATATATACCTTAATATATCTTAATTTATTTAATAACAATTTTAACTTAACTTAAACTTATTATTTACGAAAAAAAAAAACTCAAAAAATCATCATTACTTTTGCTAAAAAGTTTAACTCATAAGAATAATGCTAATTTTCAATCAAAGAATAATAATTCACACAACAATCATTATTTCATAGCAATAAACTAACTCTCGAAAAAAAAATGTTTTATAAAGGTGCGCAGAAAATTTAAAAAATTAATGATGCAGTACTTTTTTAAGTTTTCTGCACGCCTTCATACAATATTTTTTTTTTTACCTTCAAAGAAAATTTTTCCGGTGTTATACCTTATTTTATTATTTCTAACTTTCATATGATTGGCTTTTTTGGCGAAATTGTTTAGAATGTCTCAGGCATTAACTTTTGTGATCACATCAAACATAGGTATTACATGATTTTTATGTAAGCATTAGTTACAGAGAGAAAACCAAGTACTCTTTAAATGTAAAGCAGACGCATTTTCTACGAATAATTTTTACGTAAAATTTACTTCAGCTAATCTACATGTTCCTACACACACACTCACTTTATCAGCACTTAAATNCATAGGTATTACATGATTTTTATGTAAGCATTAGTTACAGAGAGAAAACCAAGTACTCTTTAAATGTAAGGCAGACGCATTTTCTACGAATAATTTTTACGTAAAATTTACTTCAGCTAATCTACATGTACCTACACACACACTCACTTTATCAGCACTTAAAACTCTATATGTACTGACAACTACACATATTTACTTGTAGGTACATATTTATGCATAATAAAGCTGGAAATATTTTGNTTTCGAACTGGCTGACGAGATAGGTCGATCTTCCACTCAGCCATCGATATGTACTGACAACTACACATATTTACTTGTAGGTACATATTTATGCATAATAAAACTGGAAATATTTTTTATCCTGCTTAAATAAATACATGCACATAAATTACACTTCTACCTATACTTAATAACCTAACACGTTCATATGCGTATACTTACTACTAATCCTATGTATGTACAAACGCACACTTACTCACATTCACATCCACCTTATCTAAAAGTTTATTTAAAAGAGCCTAATCGTAAAGCTGTTTGCACATTAACCCACCATACATATGTAGATACGCTGGACTATAATTCCAACACCTTGCCTAAGCATAAGCATACATGCTTCGTACACAACCACAACAATAAACACACACACACACACGCCCATGTAATCTTGCACTTACGTTATCATGTCTTTTGTGTTTCGTCGTCTCCCCTCCCTCTCCCGACAAACTCAAAAAGCAATACAAAATGTTCAATTAACTTAACTCTTTGCATTCTCGTTCTCTTCCTCCACCATAACTGGACGCTGCAGTGTCATGTTGCAGCCGCAATGGTGGCCGCCTCCACGCCATTCAGCTACTCTTCCGTACAACAGTATGAAGGCAATCGCTCGATCATGTGACGGCAGCTGAGCAGCTGTAGCTCCTGTAGCGGTAGCAGCAGCTGCGGGCGAAACATCCTACATCATCATCATCATACGCATCCGCATCCGCATCCGCACACGCACTTGCAACAACATCAACAACATCAACAACAGCAGCAGCAGCAGCTACAACGCAGTTGCACCCGCTGCCAGAGCTTCCATCGTCATCATCATCGACAACGCCGACGAAGCTCTGCGTTGCGTGAAGACTTCAGCAGCATGCCGACATCTAGCAATGACTGCAGCGGCGCTAGCAATAAGAACAATATCAACACTAATGGTCGCGGTAATGGCGGCAGTAACGGTAGTCACACAAAAGCGGTTGTTACTTTTTCACCGCCGATTGTTGCAGCATCGATGAACGTACCGCCTTCGTTGTCTGGCTCAATGAACACCATTTCCTCGGTGCCGACATCGTTAATGTTGGGCGCACCGCCAACACCTGCAGACGGACACTCACGCAGTGCGGCCACAACACCGCTTACGACGAATGTCAGCGCAAGTGCGACGAACACCACGAAGCATTGCAGCTTTGCGCTTACGCCACTCATACCACCACCGCCACCGCCACCGCCAAGGCAATTGTCGTTTCTCACTTCAGCGCGTTTTCATGCGAATGCCACCCACAACGATAGTAAAGCGGAGGCGGCACCGCATACGCCCCCTACAACATTTGGCAATTCAATGCTTTTGCCACCTACAACAGCAACAGCATCAGCACCATCACTTATCGAAACAGTAGGCAATTTGGCACAGTCGCCGCCAATCGTGCCGCTCACACCACTAACGCCAAGTTCACACACAGAGCTCGAAGAGCACGGCAAGCATGCGCCACTGGAGGCTCAACAAAGCGCGCTTAGTCAATTAACTACATTGGAGGATGTTGTCATAAGCGGCAGTGCGTGGAGTATACGTGTGGAGGATGAGTGCAGCGAATGAAGGCGAGCGAGTTGGTGAAAGATACAGAGAGAGAGAGTGAGAGAGAGAGAGAGAAACAAGGCTTCCGGATTTCATACTACAAAACTAATACTNCGTGTGGAGGATGAGTGCAGCGAATGAAGGCGAGCGAGTTGGTGAAAGATACAGAGAGAGAGAAAGAGAGAGAAACAAGGCTTCCGGATTTCATACTACAAAACTAATACANGCCAAGGCAATTGTCGTTTCTCACTTCAGCGCGTTTTCATGCGAATGCCACCCACAACGCTAGTAAAGCGGAGGCGGCACCGCATACGCCACCTACAACATTTGGCAATTCAATGCTTTTGCCACCTACAACAGCAACAGCATCAGCACCATCACTTATCGAAACAGTAGGCAATTTGGCACAGTCGCCGCCAATCGTGCCGCTCACACCACTAACGCCAAGTTCACACACAGAGCTCGAAGAGCACGGCAAGCATGCGCCACTGGAGGCTCAACAAAGCGCGCTTAGTCAATTAACTACATTGGAGGATGTTGTCATAAGCGGCAGTGCGTGGAGTATACGTGTGGAGGATGAGTGCAGCGAATGAAGGCGAGCGAGTTGGTGAAAGATACAGAGAGAGAGAAAGAGAGAGAAACAAGGCTTCCGGATTTCATACTACAAAACTAATACATTTTAGTGCAGCCGCTAAGTCATGCAATGCGTTAATATAGCAAAGCCTCCTAGTACTTCCATGCAGCTGTCAAGCAGTTACACTCATAAAGGTAATCGTAAAACGTCGCTCATTTATAAATTTAATGACAACATTTAAGCAATTAATTTTCTGCTCTGCTATACATTATAAAATTTCTTGTAAAAAAAACTTTTATTACTAAGCTTAAGTTCTCTTTTGACATAATGTAAGTGGCTAGTTTAAATAGCGTCTAAATAGATATACTTAAAGAGATATTATATGTAGCAGTAAGAATAATTCGAGAAAATTACTCCATGTGTTATTTATGGTATTATGTAGAAAAAAAAAACTAATTGCCCCGTTGAGTTATTTAATGCATTTTTATTGCACTAGTACCTGTCATACATACCAAAAACTGACAAACACACACACACATCCTTGACAAAATACTTAGCAAGCAACAAAGCAACATTCTCCTTCGCAGATCTTTCATGTCCTGATGATAAAGATCTAACCCTGACTGCCAAAAAAAAATTTAGTTTCGTTTTCTGACGAGCTGGCACAAAACTTCGCCTACAGAGCGCAGCATTCAGATAATATATTTTTCATTGAGCTGATCGTGAATTGAAGCGAAAAGTATAAAATTAACACCGAAATAAATGCGACGTAAGAGTATTATTTTTATCACTTCCCAATTACGCAGAACGAGAATCGACTCCAGTTTTCATAATAGGGGTCTTCATCAAAAGTGATAAGCGCTTGATAAACTTGATAAATTGNTAAAAAAAAAAACAAAAACTAATTGCCCCGTTGAATCATTAAAGGCATTTTTATTGCACTAGTACCTGTCATACATACCAAAAACTTACACACACACACATCCTTGACAAAATACAAAGCAACATTTTCCTTCGCAGATCTTTCATATCCTGATGATAAATATCTAACCCTGATTGCCAAAAAAAAATTTAGTTTCATTTTTCTGATCAGCTGTAACAAAACTTCGCCTACAGATAATATATTTTTCGTTGTGCTGATCGTGAATTGAAGTGAAAAGTATAAAACTAACACCGAAATAAATGCGGCGTAAGAGTGTTATTTTTATCACTTAGCAACAACGCAGAACGAGAATTGACCCTCTGCTTCAGTTTTCATAATAGGGGTCTTCGTCAAAAGTGATAAACGCTTGATAAACTTGATAGAGTGATAAATTGATCACTTTGATAAATGAACTGTCAAACTTTGTATGGAAATCTATTTAACCAAAGTTTATCACTTTATCAAAGACTTTGGTGGATAAATGTATAAATTTCAGCAAAATTCAACCCTTACAGGTTGCCAAGTATTCGCTTTTTCTACGAACAAATGCAAGCAAATGAACACAATGGACGAGGTAAGTATGAAAGTAAACTAGCCATATAAGTTAAATAATAAACAGTTTAAGAAATTTATCACTTTAGCCCTTTAGATGAAGACCCCTAATATATTTTAAAACAACTGTTGAAAATAAATTTTTGATGCTAATAGGTGCATCTGCACAACAATTTAAATATATCAACCTCTCTACAGCTAAGGTCGCTAACTTCTACAGCTTAAAATCTTAAATTACACCGCTTCCCAACGCCGACAAGACATTATGACTTAGCGACTACACATATNTTTGATGCTAATAGGTGCATCTGCACAACAATTTAAATATATCAACCTCTTTCCAGCTAAGGTCGCAAACTTCTACAGCTTGGAATCCTAAATTACACCGCTTCCCAACGCCGACAAGACACTGTGACTTAGTGACTAGACCTACATATAATAATAATAGATTGGCGCTTACATATATGTTAGTGTTTGGCCGAGCTTCTCCTCCGAAGACCTATACATATGCTTTTTTTACGAGGAGTGAGCATCCAAAACCTAACCCCGGAACTTATAGTGTGAGAATTTAACTCAACCCACACTTTCTACCATCATTTATCGGCTGTCCGCAACTAGCACAAGAAAAGTACACACTTAGGCCACCGTTGGGCCATTGTGATGTCAGACTAGAGACTTCTTACGTCCATCCTCGTACCGTAGAAACGGACAAAATCATAGATACTAACTAAACGCAGCTCAGCCAAATATTTAAAAGAATAGTGAAGAAATGAGCGCCAACGAGCAATAGGCAATGCTATGCGCTTTAAATTTCCTCCTCATCACGGCAACTACAACAATAGTCATTTGACTTCATACCCATTCTACTACTTTGGGTTGCCATAAGGCAACAACACTGATAACACTGTGAGACAAATGGTAGGGGTCAGTGATCGGGAAGGGTTCAAACTACCGGGAAATGTTATATCGGTCAAAAACAAGTTATACGTGGCCCGGCGTTTCGCTGGGTCACGTCTAGGAATCGAGATATATCGATTTGAAGTTAGTAACTATCATATAGGGGAAATTGTCACCTTTGGTGGTCTTTTTTTTTGACATAACTCGAGAACCACTAGTCCGATTTTGCTCAAACAAATTCAAAAAAATTAAAAATTACAATTCCTTTAATCTGTTCATATAACGTTTTTCTATATAATCAACAGTTTTGCCGGTAAAAATAAATGTATGAAAAAAAAAAAATATTTTTTGCCTAAAATATTAAATTTTTTTTATTTTTTAAATTCATAAAAAATCCAAAACGGAGAAAAGGCAAGTCGTATTACTTTCACGCAAAGTCACATAACCTTTAAGCAAAATGAGACATAGATCATGAAAATCGATGGACGCGTTTCGCTTTTATTCACAATTAAAAAAAAAAAGACCACCAAAGGTTGGTTTCATCCCATCCCTATTTTGACTGTCGCATAGTGTAATCGCAGCGCCGTTGTCGTTTATAAAGTACTGCGCCTTTATCTTGAAATCTGCCATATGTTGCCTAACTTTGTGGCATAGCTTGCGTCGGGTTCGGTGTTACCGTAAATACTACCTATCACCTCTCTATTGAGCTCCCTATATCAATTGCGGCATCTTGCTTCTTTTTTTTTTAAGTGGCGCGAGACATTCTTCGGTGTTCTTTCAGACTTGCTGAGCGAGTGCGGATGTCGTTTACAAAGATGCTAACTGTCGTTTGTACATGAAGGTTTTCAGCATTGATCTATCCTTGTGTTTATGGAAGTACATTTTTTGGCATATCCTAGTTACATGGCAATTAGTTATAGTGGCTAAGCAAAGTAAAAAAAAAAACACCAACTCTGCCTACGTGATACATTCGATTTGGCTGTTGGCCATTTCTCTACATTTGGCTGAACATTTTTTATTTTTTAGTTTTTGACGCTCATCCAGCAATACATATAGTATATGTATATAATATATTTTCATTATATTTTTCACTTACCAATGGGGGTTCCTACACTTTAAATAACCAAAATTTTCAAACGACACTCATATATGTTTTTATAGCTCTATAACTTGTTTGCAGTCAATCATAGTGAATAGTAGAATTATTTACAACTTTTCACGCTATTGGGCAGATGCAGTGGTTACCCACAAGTATATGTGCATGCATACCTTTATGTATGTACATATATACATATGTGCATAGAAATGTCAACTTAAACACACACACACACAATATTTCGTTAACAAGTTTCGACTGACATCCACACACACACACACACACACACAAAATCATATCATTGTATATTTACTCAGATATCAGAGTTTCATTTAGCCACCCATGGCGTATACGTAACATGCGTGGGCAATTAGTTTCAATTAAGTCGTACAAATTGCTATGTAACCTAACCTTTGTACACTATTTAAATATTTATGTTGAATTTATACAATTAAAAGGTACGCGTGGTATGCATGCACACTAGTGTGAACATACACATATATATATATATATATGTATATGTATGTAGGTATGCGTGTATTTGCATCCATAAGCACACAAAAATATCAAATTTAGAACGTAAATTAATTTAGTTTTAACCACAAATTAATTACGCATTTAAATAACGATATGTTAAAAAAAATTAAATTATTTGTATTTGTAATAATTGCTTACACATTTATGTATGTATGTTTGTATATAAAAATACATATACAAATATATATTTACATATGTACATATATAATTATTTACCAAAAAGTAAGTGTTTTTGTATGTGCGTGTGAGTATGTAGGCAATCAATTAAATTGCTTTACTCATTTGTATACATATTTGTGTTAGGAACTTAACTTAAATTAAGACCACAATGATGTGATTGAAAATAATGCGCTCAATTACTTATGCCTAATTGCGGTTGGCTTAAGAGCATAGAGTAAAATTTGACACTTGAAAGGAAGAGCGCTTAAGGAGTATTAGCTGTAAGACCATAGCATTTTTGGTGTCAATTTGCTAACTACTTAATTGAAAACATATTGTAAGAATAATTTTTAAAATAAATCTTATAAGTAGAACAATTATTGTATTTTATTTAAAAATAATTTAATAAAAATTTAAAATCAAAAGGTATTTATAACAAGCTAAAACGACTTTCCAACGGCTCATTGGAATTTCGCTTTGGAATACAAAACGCTTTATGCACAGCTTGATTCTAGTGAAGCAGGCAAACAGAAACTAATCACACTTTGCTGGAATCACCCCAATTGCATAGCAAATATTTCGCTTACATATAAATATTAGACTGCATCACCAAAAAAAGTTGCAGTTTTCCCGAAGGCATTACAAAGTCTATTCCATTTAAAGAGGTGTGCCAAAGTATTTCGGAAAAATATTAAGATTTACGTGAGCTAGACCAAATTGAAAATATCTCCAAAAATTGTGTTTTTGATGAATAGAAATGTTTCTTTGATGAACTTTTTGAAGAAAGTCCCTCAGATGACAAAGCAGTTTAAGTTAAAAAAAAATCTGCATAAAAATATTTGAAAAAAATTTTCAA